GGTGACAGACAGCCCCTCCCTCCTCAATGAAGGGCACTCATGAATTGCTTATCATATGTAGATTCTACTCAATAAAACTAAATCAAATCCAGATGTGCTTTAAGCAAGTTGGTACATCTTTATTTAAAATAATGGCTCATTAAGTGAAAGCCAAAATCTGTTGTTATTTCAGACCCCCCCCACACACACACACACAAGACACAACAGTGATAAATGTAGCTAAATTAAAATGACAAGTTACATTCTCTTTGTCAGAGCTGTTTTTATCCTTGGGTTGAAATTGGAGATTTATCTCAACTTTGTCCTTTAACATTTTTCAGATGTTACATTGTGCTATTTTTAATACTGGGAAAAATGCACATGATTGTCGTGGTTTTGTTTTGTTTTTAAGTCTCCATGCATGGTATCTTTTGACTAGAAGGAATCTGAATTTGTTAAATGTCCAAATACTAATATAGAACCAAATAAAGGAAGACCCATTCACTTGAAGCTAGGGGTAAGCACTTGAGACTATACGTTTTCTGATGTCAGTTTCCTGATTTAGATATTGTGCTCTAGTTATGTAAGATGTTCATTTTGGGGAGGTTGCATGAAGGGTGCCTAGGACTTCCCTGTACATTTCTTTTCAAATTCTTGTAAATTTATAATTATTTCAAATAACTATTTTAAAAAACATATTTTTATTGATTTCAGAGAGGAAGGGAGAGGGAAGAGGGGATAGAAACATTACTGATGAGAGAGAATCATTGATTGGCTGCCTCCTGCATGCCCCACACTAGGGATCGAGCCTGTAATACAAGCAATGTGCCATGACTGGGAATCGAACCATGACCTCCTTGTTTATAGGTTGATGCTCAAACACTGAGCCACACCAGCTGGGCTCAAATAACTTTTTTTAAAACAGTAAAGCACACCCCCCCCCCCCCGGTAATACCTTGTATTCCATGTGATCCTTCAGGGTCAGGGCGATCACCCCCTAGAGATTTTGGTTTAGAGGGGATGAGGTGGGGCACAAGCATTGACTGGCACCTTAGGAAACTGCTGCTCCCACCCGTGATCCTGAGGCAGAGCCCAGGTGAGGGACCAGGCCCTAGAACAGTGATGGTGAACCTATGACACGCGTGTCAGAGGTAACACGCGAACTCATTTTTTTGGTTGATTTTTCTTTGTTAAATGGCATTTAAATATATAAAATAAATATCAAAGATATAAATCTTTGTTTTACTATGGTTGCAAATATCAAAAAATTTCTATATGTAACATGGCACCAGAGTTACGTTAGGGTTTTTCAAAATGCTGACACGCTGAGCTCAAAAGGTTCGCCATCACTGCCCTAGAAGAAAGCCACGAGGCCTTCCTGAAGCACCAACTGGAAGCTAACATTCGGCAAAACACTTCTCTGCTCTGAGGTTTTGCTAAAGCTGGGACTGTACCATTTCTGAGTTGTCAATAGGCCATGAAATGAAACTGGTATTGGTTGGGCTCATGGAGTGGACTTCATTACCAGTCTTCTAGAACCGGTTCTGTCCATGGGACTTTGATTTCCCAAAGAAATGCTCCAAACTCACCCAAGGTTAGTTAGGGATAATATCAATCTGCTAATAAAGCACTAAAAGACTCAAAGCCTTACAAATGTATTATCTGTAAGAGGAAGAAAAAGACACAGTTAAAAACCTTGACATGTAATCCATTCTTTTAGGTTTTAACAGTTTTCAGACAGGAACTTTAATTAGACTTATAACAAGTTACCACTTGTAGGGAATTTGGGGATTTGTTATTCTTGCTTTAATGGCCAGTAGTTTTTATTTCTTTTTAAATAATTCACATTTTTGTTACTCTATTTGAGAGCTTGTGTTTTAAAATTCCTGCTTTGTTCTCTTATCTGAATCTTTAAGAGAGAAAAGGTAAAAATTAAAATACCTGGGAAGTAAGTTCTGGTATGTTCAACTTTTTAAAATTGTGCTCCTTTTAGATTGCTTCAGTGGAGCCAAGTAATTTATGAACAACTTAGTTTTTAAAGAAAAATACAATGTGAACAAGTAATGCTTTTTAAAAATATGTTTTTCTTGTATTTGTAAGTTAATTTATTTGGATGGTTAGAATATTGGTTTAAGCACTTGGACTTTTCCACCAGAAGCTCCACTTCAATATTAGATGTGTTGCTGTGTATTTAATGACAAGAAATATATGGAATTTTCCTGAAATATTTGAGGTCTAAGTCTGACTCTTAGCATCAGAATTGGCTTAGGAGCTGTTTCCATCATAGAGTTCTCATAGTCATGTTTCAGGGGTAAAGGATGCCAGTTCCTTGACTCATCCTATCTATCTGGATGTCACTCAGAATGGGAAGTGTCATTCTAGAACAATTTCATGAAAAAGGCTACCTGATATGTTGCTAACATGAGGACATTGTAGCATTCTCATATTAATGACGATTTTTAAAATATCACTTGTATTCAGAGTTCTCTTAAATCAAACATATTAAAGAAAATGTGGAGATAATTTTTGTTTGGAATCTATAGCCTTTATCTTCTGATAGTAATAGTCTGGTAAACTTATATTACACTTACCAGTGATTTTGATGTAAGATAAAAGAGCATATTTGAAGAAAAAAGGGAATTGCTTTATTATTAGTGATTGAGAAATAGAAATTTACATTGAAAATGCTGCTGACAGGTCAAAAAGGATTGCATTAATACGCATGATTATTTTTCTAGAGAGAAAGCTTTATCTTACCTTTGAGTTAGCAGTTTTATTCTTTGTTTTTAAAAGGCCAATGTATTCACTTGAGCTTTATGGGAAGATGCAAATAACTAAAAACAAACAAACAAAAAAACTAACAAAACCATGTTGAGATCAGGAACTTATTTCAAGAAAGCATATCCTAGGTTTTCTTCTGAAGTGAGTGACAGTATAGCCATATGTCTCCAACCATCTACCATCCACAGTATGTCAACAACACAGCAATATTGAGTATTTACCTGTGTCACGTCCTGATCAGTGTAGTATCTGGTGCTCAGTTGTCACAAAGTAAATGCTTATATACGTTCTATAGATTCTGTTTTTGATAAAGAAGTTCACTATACAGTTTAGTGCTCTTTTCACCAAAAGTCCCTTTTTCTTGTTTTTCATTTGTTTTTCCCAGTGGTACTGAATAATTAAGTATTGCTGTGGATTCAATGTTAAGTAATGCCTCAAAGAATTGCTTAGCTAGATCAGCGCCATTACTAATGTGTTTCTGACATGCTATCTATCACAGAATACTTAGCACTTAGGCCTAGCACTGCCCAAGTTGAGACCTGCTGAGGGTGCCATGTGCTTTGGAAATTTCAAGAAGACAGTCTGGAGAGCATGTTCTTAACTAGTTTTCATTTCAAACCTTTTGCCACTTAAATACAGAAAATTGTTGCTGCTAAGTGATGCTTTTCCAGAAATTCTCTGTAATGTATGGGAGGGATTGCTTGCATTCAAAGTTGTAGGTTGATAACACAAAATGGGTGGGAAGGAAGATACCTGGAGGAAAAGTGCCCAGACTCGGCTCCCTTAGAGAACATAGTTGTTCAGGGGCTGTATAAGCCTTCACAATTTCATTTGGTCAATAAATATGTATTCTGCCTACTATGGATACAGGATGTGAATACAAGTGTCTACTTTCATGGAACCCATGGTCTAGAGGAGGGAACAGTAGAGGTCCAAAAATAAAGAAATAAACAATTAAATATAATATGTCAAATCATCATAAGGGATAGGGGGAAACAACAGGGGTGCAGTTGTAGAGGTAGCATGTTTGTTTTCTACAGGGTGTCAGAGAGTCTCATTGATTAAGGTTACATTTGAACAGAGATGTGAAAAAAGTAGGGGAACCCATGAAGATAAAGGATTTCAGGCAGCTGGAGCAGCAGGCGCAAAGGCCCAGAGGTTGGTAAATGCCTGGTGCTTTATAGGGGCAATACTGGAGGCCAATGTGGCTAGAGTGGAGTGAGCAAGGGGGAATGCAGAGACATGTCAGGGGATGTGGCCAGGTGGTGGACAGCCACATAGGCCATTGGAAGGACTTCCACTTTAACTCCAAGCAAGACTTAAAGCCAACTCTTACTCTGACTTTAGAAGTAAAGATTAAAGCAAGGGATCAGTTAGGAGGTTATTATAATGATCCATGTGGACAATGGTGGAGGTTGAAACCAGGGTGGTTAACAATGAGTTGATGAGGCTAACAAGGTTTTGGGCTCAATCAACTAGAAGGATGGAGCTGTCATCTGCTGAAATGGGGAGGCTGTGGGAGGAGCAGGATATGTTAACCCAAAGTCTTCCAGAAGCCTTTTAGGCAGTCTGGAGTTGTAGAGTGGGCACCTGGATAGCTAAGTCTGGGAATCAGAGTAGTGGCTGGAGAGTGATAGATATTTAGGAATTACTTAGGGTGTGAATGGTATTCGAAGCCATGAAACTCATCAATATGGACTCCTCAAGAAAGCATAAGTAGAGAAGAGATGAGCGATCTGAATCCTGGTATTTCACAGACATCAGGGCTTTGATTCTAAATTCACAGAGAACAGTTAATTAAGTTTCGTAATGTCCTGCCTTTTAAAAAATAGATAAACATGTCATTGTTCCCTTTTGAGCTGGTTGCACTTTTTAATAATCATTCCTGAATTTCCTTTCACTCTTTCAGTGGCTTTTATCTGATTTATTTCTAATACTATTTAAAATTAGTAGGCATTTTTTTGGTCTGAAAATCTGATTTTTGTGGAACATCATTTAAAAATAATAATTAAAAGAGATGCCCATGGCCATAAAAATTGAGGTCTCAAAAGTGATTACTGAAGATAAAAGGTAGTATAAGTTTAGTCTGATTTTTTTCACTGTTTTTATTTGTTGGAAGTTTCAGGTTTGGCTGTGATATTATGCTAAGCAAATCTGGTGAAAAATCAAAGGATATAGTATCAGTAGATTATTTGTTTCTTCACACTGAAGTTTAAATTCTTTTTGTTTGCCTTTTCTAGCCAATATTTGCATTTGTAAATGAAGAAAAGTTTAACGTGGATGGATGGATGGTTTATAATCCAGTTGAAGAATACAGAAGGCAGGTAAGCCAATAGGTACTGTAGCATGTAGTGAATCCGAATCATGCATGGTGACAATATGTCACCAGGCATGCTCTTTGAGGATCAATAACATCCTTGCCAAATATGTTTTTAATGGCAGTGGTATATTATAGCGTATTCTGTTTATTCCATGGCCATATTGAAGCTGCATTGAAGGCTGGCTGGATAAGTTCTGTTCCCTTCCCTTACATGAAGAATATCAGTTATATATTGTTCATGAAATGAAGCAAATATTTGGAGTCTAAATTAGTCAAACCTCTATAGCTTCCTATTTAGGAGTTGATGTCGCTATATATTTGTATATTTGGGAGCCTAACTATTAATGACAGAGTTCAATTATATATATTGTGGTTTATAGATTCAAATTAATCAGAACTGTTTTCCTATAATAATCTCTTTTCCCAGAAAGCTTTGATGAATGTATATTAGAATTTCCCTTTACTGCTTTCTTATGTAAACATAACCTACATGCATATTTATTTGCTGTAATAAAGGCAAGAGGCTTGGAATAATGTTGGCTGTTCAGGGACAAAGGTCTCTTGTGGCATGTTTGTGAAGAAGATCCTATGCATGTTATGTAACAAGAGCCACAAATTGACCTCTGGTATAACCAAATCTATAGGACAGCTAGGAGTTTTGTGATGGAAATTTTCATAATTATCATTCTAAACGCTCTTAAAATAATTGGGAAATTTTGCTGAATTACCTTTGAGAATCAATTCAAGCCCAGTTGTGTTATATGCAAAGTCAGTGAAGGTAAAGTAAAATGCAGAACCCTAGACTTGAGAAGAACCGTCTAGCCACCACCTCCACTACTAAGGACCTGGGTTGATTTCCATTTAGTCTTGATCAGTGGTGTGTAGTCATAAGCAGATCCAATGCTCAAGAACGGTGGTGTAGGAGTTTATCTCTAGAACACATGTATGAGGAAGTATGTGCTCTAGCTTCTAGAAATCAGCTTTAGACTATTGTTTTCAAAGTCTGTGTATACCTCTCATTTTAATGACCTTTGTTCTGGGGCAGTTATTCAGGCAGAAGGACCATTCAAACATTTTGCATGGTTTGGAGATCTCTGTAGCATTATGTATTAAAATATTTGTGTCTTATTTTAAGAGTGTTATTGACAATATTAAGACATTTTAAGGTCAAAGCTTCTAGATCGAAACAAAACAGTTCCTGTTTTTAAGATTGCATGCATACTAGTATATGAACTGTTGAAGGTATTTTGTTCTAGACTGCCATTTCATTCCATCTTTTTTTCTTATAACTTTCTGATGGGACTTATAACTTTCTAATTGGACTCAGCATCAGACTCATCTGTTTGGTCCGTGGTCAATAGGACCAGACTTAAAGAAAAGGTACAATGTCTGTCCCCAAACCAAGCACCCACATAGCTTACTTTTGTGTGTGTATTTGTGTATTTGTGAGTATGGGGAGAGAATATTCCACCACCTCTGGCTCTTGTCCACACTAGATAAAATTTTATGGGTAGATGATAGGGTGGGAAGTGTCTTCCATATCTCTCTGTGCAGACTGTTTAGACTGCAAATTACTCTATTTCTCACACAACCTATATGGCAATCACCAATCTCAAACAACTTGATTGAAAAAACTCTTAGGAGGTGGCGAAATGAGCCTCCCCAAGAGGGGTTTTCATTTCCTTCCCCTCTGCAACTTTCTTCATATACTTAGCCTCTTTTCTACTTTGGAGCAGACTGAAACATTTACTCTGTTTTGAGTAGGGAGAGGGAGTTGCCTGATCTCTTTTCTATCCTCAATTAGACACATAGTAAGAGTACATGATATAGTTTTTCTAGGTTGGGGGGGGATACATGGGTGGGGAATGACCTTGCATTTATCTTTATTGTACTAGTAGTAAAGAATAGTTTGACATGAAATAAAGGAAGATCTCAAATTCAAGAGAATCTTTATTTACCAATGACAGTTTAGAACTATGGAAACCACCAGTGTTTGTCTTGTGTTCTTATGTTGTCTGGATTATTGATTTGGCTCCCTTATTATAAATCAGTAGACCGTCACTACACTGTGGTCAAAGATGCATTTGCAAATTCTGCTAGAATGAAGAAAGGAAACCCAAGGCTAATGCAGAGATGAAGTCATGCAGTACTTACTTGGACTTCCTTTTTTCCTGCAGGGCTTGCCCAATCACCACTGGAGAATAACTTTTATTAATAAGTGCTATGAACTGTGTGACACTTACCCCCCTCTCTTGGTGGTTCCATTTCGTGCCACAGATGAAGATCTCAAGAGAGTTGCAACTTTCAGATCCCGAAATCGAATTCCAGTGAGTATGCAATTAATGATGTTGTTTTTTCAGAGTGCCTTTTATTCCATAAGAACAATAGTTAAGTAACTCAGAGAAACACTCTAGGATTTCAGTCCAACAAGTAATTGTCAAGTGCCTTTTGAGTGCAGAACACCAGGCTAATTGGGAAAATAAGAAAGACAACACCTGCCTTCCAAGAGCTCACAATAAAGGATGGGGAATGAACACAAGTAATTCTTATTCAAATGAGGGTACAAATACTGCTATCATATGTAAACCAAGGGCTAGATGGACGGAAAAAACGGTAGGACAGGGTCTTTGTGGTTTTCATCTTAGTAGCATAATACCTGATATATGAAAGGTATTGATAAATGTCAGCTGAGTCATGCTGGAAACAAGGTACTATCTTATGTTATAGAGCATGTAAGTATAGGCTTTTATGTATACTCAGCTTTATTAGGACGTGCTTATCCTCATCATATTTGCAAGTTGCCTTAATACCATTTGCAAACTGGAGCCAAGTACAGATTACCCCAAACTATATACTTATGGTATCATGGGACCTAGTTCCCAAAGTTTCCTTTGCTTCTTAAATATAAATTTTAATTCTTTATTGTTTAAAGTATTACATATAGTATTACATATGTCTACTTTTTTCCTCATTGGCCACTCCCATCCCTCAGCACATGCCCTCACCCCTGCTTCTTAAATATGTATGTACAAGTCTTACTGTATTCTGTGTACATAAATTTTATTGACTAAAAATTTAGAGAATGTTTTCCCCTCTGTTAATTTTCAGGCCATGTCATAATAAGTACATTGTTTTGTTTTGGTTTAAAAACGAGGGTTGAAGAAATTAAGATTTAATGTCACCTTGCCTTTAAATCCCAAGTCTAGATATTTTTATCCTTAAAAGGACATTTGTGTGAAATGTTTGTATACTGTCAACGTAATTGCAACTTTTAAAATTCACTTGGTTCTCTAATTATGAGTGTCTGTTCATATCTTCATGATATATATTGTACTTGAAAGTATGTTTTTAGCTTATTTTGTTAGAACACGGTGCTAAGGAAGTTAGTTACAAGTTCACTACTCTTGTTCTCTATTTGGACATATTTTTCTGTGCCATAGCCACAAACTACACATTTACCCTGGCAATCTGTCTTGCTAATATGTGCCTTGTCCACAGGAGAACTGGATTAAGGTAGCATGAATCGCTTTTATTCACTCCTTTATTCAGTTAATGTTTATTGAGCATCTACTATAACAAAGGTGTGTGTGTGTGTGTGTGTGTGTGTGTGTGTGTGTGTGTGTGTGCATGTTTCATGGGATTTGGAGCAGGAAAGGAAATGAACTAACTGTGCCCAGTTCCTTATGCTCAGGCTACCATCTTAATCCAGTAGTTTCCACTATTCTATGTGAATGAGAGCCCACTGTAGAGCAAATAGAATGCTTAACTTTTTGCTTATTGAACCATTTTATGGGTCCTTCTTACTTTGTGATGGCCACCAATTGGCATTTATTTTTCCTAACAAAACTGAGGCTAAGCTGTCCATTATCCCTATATCTTTATAGATTACCAGGCTTAATAATATCTAATCGTAGGTAATGTACTCTTTCTGATGTACTTTCTAACCCCTGACTCTTGACTGTAACCCAGAAAACATATTTGCTTTCAATGAGAAGTCATTAATACTTGATATTTAGTTTTTAAGCCCATATAAAAATATAAAAAGAATAGATGAGAAAGCAGTTTTGTTGTTTTAAGTGAAATTAGAAAAAAACATAAAATATCACTGATTAATAAAATAATCCACATGTGTTAATGTTCCCATTAATGGATACATACTCCTTTGTCCTCAAACATGTTTATCTTAATGTTATGAAAGTCTTTAACATAAGTAATACATATGTTATTTTAGACATTTTAGAAAATACTGATAAGCAAAAAGGAGTCTTATGCCTTATAAGAATCACAGATAACATTTTGGTATATGTCCTTCCAGCCTTCCTTCTATGTATGCATATTTTTATTAGAAAAAAATAAAATAATTCTGTAATCTTTGTCTTAATCACTTTTTTCTACCTAACATTATCCTGGAAATAAGTTTCCACACTGATAAATATCTACTCATAAGCTAGTATGTAGATATAACACAATGCATTTAATCGGTTTTCTATTATGAGTCATCAAGGTTCTTAATTATTAATCTTTTGCTATTATAAACAGTGCCATGATAAACATCTTTTGGTGGCTAAATCTTTGAGTATATCCTTAATTATTTATGGCTATTAGATAGTTTAAGAAGAATAATCCAATATGGTACCATATACTTTAAAAGTACTCATAGTAGTTGATATTGTAAAATTAGCATTATTTGTACCAGGATATAGCAAGCATCCTTTTTAAAGTTAGTTGAGATCCCAAAAGAAAAAGAAAGTGAGAGGTGAAACAATTCATCAGAGTAGCATTTCTTAACATAGCATGGTGATTCTAATCTTAAATCTCCCAAGCAGGGAGAAGGGTGAAAGAGAGGAGGGCATTGGTGGTACAGAACAGTTTCTTGCATTTGACCTCATTTAAATTTAAAACTTGAAGAGGGTCATTTTCAAATAATAAATCTCTTGTGTCTGTAGTGATTTGCTGTTTAAAAGTGATCTCAAATCAAATCAACACATTACACAATATTATATGTCAATTATATTTCTATTAACCTGAAAATTCAATTCAATTATAAATAAATACATAAAAGTGATCTCATGTCTTTTATCTCTCTTGAAGAAAAGGCTATAGGAAGTAGGTGAAGTAGGTCTCCTCTCTACGTTGTAGATTTCAAAATGGAGTTTGAGTAAAGGCCAGTGCTTTTTCCCAGGGCTTCACAGTTCTGAGCCTTTGTACTGTAAGGGACCACAGTGATGTTTTTAACTGGTCTCTGGCATGGCACAAAATCAATGAATGAGTATGCATGTTATTATATAATCATTCTCACCAGCCCATTGTCATTATTATGCACATCAGTTTTTATGAATATCAATGCTTGTCATTTGCTTTCCTGGAGTGAGTGACTTCAAAAGATAACAGTGTATTTGGCCATGTATTAAGTGAGCTCAAATTGTTGTTTCTTTAGTTCTTGTGTCTGCTTTTCATAGTTTTCCATATCTGACTTTACTGGCTGCTGGCCTGCCTCTAGATGCTAACTCAAGCCAGGCAGCCCCCTGAACTGCACTGAGTACTTTACCTGCAGTCATTCTTTCTTCGTCCTCCCAGCAGCACCATGGGATAAGATTACTCCCCATTTGATGAATGAGGAAAGGGAAGCAGCAGAGGCTATGAGCTCTGTATGCAGGTTAGAGCCACCCCCAGTGCCCATGCTGTTACCCAACACTCTCACCTCCTGGCTCCCTTTGTGTTTTTTTAAACAGCTTTGTTGAGGCATACACCAAACAATTTATCCATTAAAAGTGGACAGTTTTATAGCTTTTGGTGTATTACATTATTAGCTACCTTTTGCAGTTACTTTTGGTTCTATGCTATGACCTGGGAAACCAGGTATCAAATGTGCTAGGTGTGTGTATAAAATTAGAGAAGACTGAGTGTGAGTGAAGGCTGGAAGAGCTCTCCTAGGAGCTGGGTATCCATGCTTCATTGTAGAGACTCCGGAAGCTCTTTTGGCTGTCCTGACACCTTTTTTGCTTCCCTTGGGTTATCTCCACCCCTCATATTATTCTAGAATTGAGACTGTTGGGAAAATGGCCTGCAGATGTGAGTTGTTATTATGGAAACATGTTATATCAGAGGTGATTTCCTTTACCTCTCACTTTTTGCTAAAGTTGTTTCTTTGTGATGATAAATTCAGTGCAAGCTACAGAACTGAAATAATATCAGAAGTTTTCTACTTCCTTTATGTGATTTAACATTTTTTAGTCAAGCATGTAACTTCTATTAGCTGTGGTGCTAATTAAGAAAGGACTAGTGCCGTAACCGGTTTGGCTCAGTGGGTAGAGTGTCAGCCTGGGGACTTAAAGGTCCCAGGTTCGATTCCGGTCAAGGGCATGTACCTTGGTTGCGGGGACATCCCCAGTAGTAGATGTGCAGGAGGCAGCTGATCGATGTTTCTCTCTCATCGATGTTTCTGGCTCTCTGTCCCTCTCCCTTCCTCTCTGTAAAAAATCAATAAAATTTATATATATAAAAAAAGAAAGGACTAGTAAGGTAATTGGTTATTCTAATTGTCTCTTAATAGAGACATTGTTAAATGTGTGTTTCTGGGCACACACAGTGAAATCATAGGTGAATAAATATCCCATTTCATCAAAAGCAGATTCACTTAATCATGATTGTTAGTGCTTTATTTTTATAGTTTTAATTGTTTTGAGATTTGTTTTAATAGCTCAAAATTTCTGTACTAACTATAGGTGCTGTCATGGATTCATCCAGAAAACAAGACAGTCATTGTGCGTTGCAGTCAGCCTCTCGTCGGTATGAGTGGTAAACGAAATAAAGATGATGAAAAATATCTTGACGTCATCAGGGAGACTAACAGACAAATTTCTAAACTCACGATTTATGATGCAAGACCCAATGTCAATGCAGTGGCCAATAAGGTGAGTACATTTAATGACATGATAGAAACATCTTATATACAGTGTATGGTGTTTCACATGAATGTTTTTGCCATATCACGACAACATGTGGGATTAAATTAATAGTTAAACTTAGTTTAAATAAGAAAACTAGTTCACTGAGCTAGAAAGTTTTAATCACAAAATGTATCTTAAAAGTTGAATATATTACAATCAAATGAAAACATTCTTTAGGTATATTAGGCAAATCTGGAACTGTAATGAACTTGGGTTTTGATCAGAATCTTAGGCAAAAGTTAGAATCTCTTTGGAGCTGTTTAGGCTGTTGATGGTTATTCCCAATATCTATGCTGCTGAGGCATCTGTGAGGAGTTGTGGGAAGCTGTAATTGTAAAATCCTAAATTTGTAGCTTTATCAAAACAGTCTCTTCATTATATTCATCAGTGTATATTCTCATTTATGTAAAATAATTCAAGAAATGAGTAGATATATGTATGTGAAGTTTATAATCTCACACAATGTTATTATTTTCAAAGAAATCTGTCTCAATTGTCTTCATAGCATTCTTAAGCAGAAAATTCCGAGTGCCCCTGAAGTTGATTGGGATTGTCACTGTCAACATCAGTGACTACATAGTGTTGCCTTCCGGAGCTCTCAGGAGGCTGCTGCAAGGTGTAAGGCTGTTTGCCCTGACACTAAATGGCCCCAGATTGTGCTATGCTTTTTACATTTGATTTTTCTTTTCTGTTTTGTTGTTTTTCTTCTCCCATTACTGCGAGCCATCACAAGTGCTCATTGTGGGCCTGCCCTGCATTGCTCATCCCCATTCCATCTTTGAGATTTCTTGTTTCTCATCAGCTGTAGGCTTCAATTTCATCATCTTGAATAATTTGCTTATCCTAAGGTCATCTATCTGACATCTTCAATTATTCAGAGCACAAAACAAGAACCTGAAAGCAAAACAAGTCCCTGAGCAGCTCAGACAGTTGCAGCAGCTTCCTTAGTGGGCCTTTGGCATCTGTCTGCACACGCATCTGTGAGAAGGCATGTGTGTGGGGCTCCACTTACATGGTTGTGCATCTTATACACTGACTCCCGGGGGGCCTCTCTGCCCCTTGCATGCTCTTTGACCAGCTGTTCGTTACCACAGGTGGTATTTGTTTGGGGAATTAATATAATCTTGAAATTATATGTAAACTAATCAGGAAGTGTAATCATTAAGTAAATTATGAATTATAAAAGTAAAGTATTTCAGAAATAAAGTCTAAATACAAATGTCTTCTTATATTATCCTTAACTTTATATATTTCTTTTCCTGGAATTCAGACTTGAATAAATGTAGAAAATGCAATATATACATTTAGCCTGAAACAGATATAGCATTAAAATGAGGTATTTAGAAATAATATTTTAAAATATTAAAATGTATAAAACGCATACATATAAAGCTCATTGTTATAGAAGTAGAATTATTGAATGCCTTTTTAACACTCGGGAAATATGCCTGTGTTTCTAGCCCCCTTAGGAATGAAAGGAAGGAAAATCTTAAGGAAAAATACCTAGGCTTTAAAGATCTCTGCATCATTCTTTAAAAAACACACTCAGGTCCCCCTCCTCTCTTGGCTGTGTTTCTCGCCTAGTCATCTATATCCATAGCAACAGGCCCTTGGACCTGTATGTCAGCATACTAGGCAGTCTGGGTTGTTGTTTTTTTGTGTTGAAAAAAAGAACACTGAAAAGAATATTTCAAAACTAACCAGAGATGGAGAATTTGCACTTTTAAGAACTTAATCTGTGCCTGACTAATTGATTTTACCCTTCTGACTTCTGTTCTATTTGGACCTAATCATTCCTCTCTTGTGGATATTTAGATATTCACAACCCCAGATGTAACAAGCAACATCACACCATTTTAAATTAAACAAGCAAACAAACAAAACCCAGGGTGAATAAGATCAAGCGTCAAGCTGCTTTAATTTTTCGGCAACACACTGTGAATTATAGTGGAACTGTATTAATGTCTGTTTTTGCCAGAAAATTTGGCAATGAGTAAGAAGTATATATATTTTTTATGCGTGTGGGGGCTCGGCAAAGAACAAACAAACATTAATGTCAAAATAAAATATACTTTCTTACCTAGAGTCTGTGGAGACCGAGGCATCAAGCTTATACATAGGTCTCCAGGTTTGAAGTTCAAGTAGTAGCCTTATTTCTATTGCAGGAGAATGTCTCTCTAACTAACCCTAGAAGAAATCCAGGATGTGTTGGCCTTTCTATTCGGGGCTACAAGTTTAAATTCCTTCTGTTGTTATAAATAAAAAGGAAAGGGACATGAAGTAGCAATGGCACATTTTTCTGGTGCCTTCATTTTTGCTCTTCATTTCCAAGCACGTTTCCCAGTCCTCTTCCTACAGGCACTCTGAAATTAGTATAATGTTGCTTTGACGATAATATTTTTTTTTTCTGGTGAGTTCACACATTCAGATGTTTTTACAGTGTTAATTAGCATCCTTTCATTTCAGCTTATAGAACGTTGTTTTCTCAACAAGTCTCTAAATTATTTAACTTTTTCTTAAAGAGCCAGAGGCCACGTGTTCCATGGCATTTAAAAACATTAAGGAGAATGCAGCCCAGTTTCTAAACAGAATTATAGCATTTCTTCTCGTCCATGTGGAAAATGGGCATCTTCACCATGCTGTGAAGGTGAACCAGTGACTGCCCGAGCAGTTTATACTTATAGGTGCTGCAGTAGATAGTAACACTCCTCTTGACACCTTTTGGGCTCTGACGGCCCACTATGTGCAGTGCTCTGTCTTTGGTGTTTGCATAGCAGACAGACAGTCATGGTGCACTAGAAAGGGTTCAAGTATTGAAGTCGGACAACTTAAAGTCTGATTACCTGTGTGACTTTGGGGATAGTTAAATAGCATTTCTTCTGATTTGCAAAATGGGAATGGTAATACCTATCTTGTAGCATTGCTATAAGAGTTAAATAAAATCATGCAAACCAAGAATCACAGTATCTGGGACATCATAGGGGCTCATTAAACACTGGCTGGTGTTAGCTGTTATTGAGTATGGCTTCTTTTAATCCTGTGAGACCTAAGTTGTATTATCCTGTATTCTACAGGAAAGGACATGAAGGCTCAGAGAGGTTAAGGTCCTTTCCCTAGATCACACAGCAAGAAAGGGCTGAAGCTGAGCTATCAATCTGGTTCTGTCTGACTCCAAAGCCTGTTGTTTTCCTTCAGCCCAGCCCGTGTGTCTCATGTGAGTGGTACTACAAAGTCAGTGCCTCACCCTGAAAAGTACTTTTATAAAACTGATGGAGAACAAGGGCCATTTAGAAACTGTTCTTGCCTTTCTGGTTCTGGAAGAAGAGCTAGTAATTCTAGAAGATTTTGAAAGTGATTTTTTTCTCACAAATACACGTCTTCCCAAAATTGCCAGCCTGCCATCTCTTTTCTAGCTCAAAGTGTGACTAATGTTGTTGGAGCTCAGTGTTGGATAGGAAGGCGAGTCCCGTCAGTCATTTATGTAACTTGCAAGGTTTACAGTTGAGATTTGGAGGCTCGGTAACTTTTCAAATATTTGTGTGAGTTACTGATGAAATAGAAAACACAAAATCGCTGACATTTCTTGTAGCAATATTTTTTCTGATGTATCTCCTTGGGAAAGGGAAACAATAGAAAAAATAAACAAATGAGACTACATGAAACTAAAAAGGTTTGCACAGCAAATGAAACCATCAACAAAACAAAAAGACAACTCACTGAATGGGAGAAGATATTTGCCAAAGATATACTCTGATAAGGAATTAATATCCAAAATTTATTTTTTTAAAAACTCATACAACTCAACACCAAAAAAACAATCCTATTTTAAAATGGGCAGAGGACCTAAATAGACACTTCTCCAAAGAGGCCAATAGACATGAAAAAATGCTCAACATCACTAATCATCAGAGAAATGCAAATTAAAATCACAATGTGATGTCACCTCACACCTGTCAACATGGTTATCATCAATAAATTAACAAACAAGTGTTGGCAAGGATGTGGAAAAAAGGGAACCCTCATGCACTGTTGGTGAGAATGCAGACACTGTGGAAAGCGGTATGGAGGGTCCCCAAAATATTAAAAATGGAACTGCCTCATGACCCAGTGATTGTACTTCTGGATATATATCTGAAGAAACCCAAAACATTAATTTGAAAGAATATGTGCACTCCAGTGTTCATTGAGCATTGTTTACAATCACTAAGATATGGAAGTAACCCAACTGCCCATCAATAGATGAGTGGATAAAAATATTGTGGTACATATATACAGTGGAATATTACTCGGCCATAAAAATAGAATGAAATTTTACCATTGGCGACAGCATGGATGGGCATAGAGAGAGTATTATGCTAACTGATGTAAGTCAGTCAGAGAAAGACAGATATAATATGATTTCACTTATATGTGGAATCTAAAGAACAAAATAAACAAAATTGAAACAGACTAATAGACACAGAGGACAAACTGATGGTTGCCAGAGGGAAGAGAGGGTGTAGGGATTGTGTGAAAAAGGTGAAGGGATTAAGAAGCACAAATTGATAGTTACAATAGAGTCACAGGGATGTAAAGTATAATGTAGGGAATCCTCCTATCTAATAAAAGAGAAACATGGTAATTAGCGTACAACCGCTACCCTTCCCATTGGCTAATCAGAGCAATATGCAAATTAACTGCCAGCCAAGATGGCGGCCGGCAGCCAGGCAGCTTGAAACTAACATGAGGCTTGCTTGCTTCGGTGATGGAGGACTCCAACGTTCCCCGCCCCGCCTGCCGCTGCAGGCCTCTGAGCTGTAACTCTAAGCAACTATGTAACAAAGATAGAAGCTAAACAAAAGTCCACCGGGCTTCAGCCAGCAGGATCATAACATTGTAAGCAAAGGCCAGAAACCTACTTTCAGCAGCGGAGGCCTAAGAGCTGGAGCCAAGCCTCAAAGCTAAAGCTGGCCCAGAATAAAAAAAAAAAAAGAAAAAAAGGAGCGGTTGGGAGCTTCAGTCACCCCCAGCCTGAAAACAGCCCTCAGCCCCTCACCCAGACTGGCCAAGCACCCCAGTGGGGACCCCCACCCTGAAGGGTGTGTGACCAGCTGCAAACAGCGATCATCCCTGTTATGCCCAGATTTCAAGGTTCCCAAGAGCCCACCAGGGAGCCAGCCAGTCCGATGCAAAAGAAAAGAGTCCTTTATTTCAAGCTAGCTCGAGCTCCCCATCCACCACACTCACCGACACAACGGCAAGCCAAGTGGCCGAGAGAGTGAAGCCTGATGGGATGAGGGGTTTTATAGGGGGGTGGAGTAAGGGCAAGAGAGGGGACTGTGGGCCCTGCCGATTGGCCAGACACGAGTCGGTGTCTCATTACACAGGATGTAGTCATATTGATGGCGTGCACTTCCCTTGATTATCATTGGTTAGTCCAGAGAAATCCTGGGCGTGGCCAGCAGAGGCCTGGGCCTCCGGGAAGAAGCCCCACCGAGCACATGGTTCTGCCCAAAAATGGAGGACCCAGGGCAAGATGGAGGGCACAGTCCTCGCCCCTCCATTGAGAACGCGGGGAAGGGCGGGGGCTGTGCGTCTGCAGGTCTCCGCTCGTGTGGGAAAGGAGGCCGTCCCGGGATGGGCCAGCGGCTCTGGGCGGCTGCAGCCTGGGCGGTCCCCACCGTCCCCCCGTCCGCAGGGCCATGCAGGGCCTCCTAGCTCAAGTGCGGGTGGGAGCCAAGCGCACCAGCCCTCCGGCGAACTGTCCTGTTCCCTCCCTCCCGAGCTCCCTGGCCCCGCACCGCAACTCCGGCTCCGACAGCCTGCCTCCTCGCCCCTTGATAGGCGTCCTTCCCCGAAGGCCGCAGGCTGCTCCCCAGCACCCAGGAGCCCGGGGTTGCCGTTCCCCTGCTGGAGGGGGCTCGGGCCACCCCTGCTCCCCCAGAGCCCTGGGCCTGCCCCCTCTCCGCGGCCCGTCAGCCTTCCCGGGCAGGAAACTAGACCGGGGGCGGCCAACCCAGCACCGGTGCCGGGAGACGGGCGAGGATGGGCTGGCGGGAGCCCGCCGCGGGGAACGCCGGGACCGACCGCAGGGAGCGCTGGGCATCAGGGCCTCTAGGTTGAGGTCTCACCCTTTCAATCCCCTCACCCAGGCTGGCCAGGCATCCCCAGTGGGGACCCCCACCCTGATCCAGGACACCCTTCAGGGCAAACCAGCCGGCCCCCACACGTGCACCAGGCCTCTATCCTATATAGTAAAAGGGTAATATGCCTCCCAGCACCGGGATCAGTGGAGCCGAGAGGCCTCCTGGCACCAGGATCAGCATGACAGGGGGCAGCGCCCAAACCCCCTGATTGCCCTGCGGCTCTGTGTGTGACAGGGGGCGGGGCCACAACCTCTCTATCCACCCTGCTCTGTTCGTGACAGGGGAAGGTGCCCCAACCCCCTGATTAGCCCTGCTCTGTGCCTGATAGGGGGGAGCTCCCCAACCCCCTGATCGCCCTGCGGCTCTGTGTGTGACAGAGTGCAGTGCCCCAACCCCCTGATCAGCCCTGCTCTGTGTGTGACAGGGTGCGGTGCCCCAACCCCACCCCCCACGGGCCCTGCTCTGTGTGTGACGGGGTAGAGCCATAACCTCCCCATCGGCCCTGCCCTGAGTGTGAGAGTGGTGGTGCCCCAACCCCCTGATGGGCCCTGCTCTGTGCGTGACACGTGGCAGCGCCCCAACCCCCTGATTGGCCCTGCTGTGTGCGTGACAGGGTACAGAGCCCCAACCCCCCTGATGGGCCCTGCTCTGTGAGTGACAGGGGGCAGTGCCCCAACCCCCTGATTGGCCCTGCTCTGTGCGTGACAGGGTGTGGCGCCGCAACCTCCCCATCGACCCTGCCTTGAGTGTGACAGGGGATGGTGCCCCAACCCCCCAATCAGCCCTACTCTGAGCGTGACTGAGGGTGGCATCGCAACCTCCCAATCTGCCCTGCTCTGTGCATGACAGGGGGCGGCGCCCCAATTCCCCAATCGGCCGTGCTCTGAGCCCGACCAGGGGCTGCACCTAGGGATTAGGCCAGCCTGGAGCAGGCCTAAGCCAGCAGGTCATTATCTCCCGAGGGGTCCCAGACTGCGAGAGGGCACAGGCCGGGCTGAGGGACTCCCCTCCCCCCCAAGTGCACAAATTTTTGTGCACCGGGCCTCTAGTATAGTTAATAATATTGTAATAAGTATGTATGGTGCCAGGTGGGTACTAGAAATATCGAAGGAAACACTTTGTAAAGTATATGATTATCTAACCATTGTGCTGTTCACTTGAAACTAATATAAAACATTATTGAATATAAACTGTAATTGAAAAAATAAATTAGAAAAAAAGAAATAGAAAACACAACTGACTATGTGTATGTCTTGTTTCTTAGGCAACAGGAGGAGGATATGAAAGTGATGATGCATATCATAACACCGAGCTTTTCTTCTTAGACATTCATAACATTCATGTTATGCGGGAATCTTTAAAAAAAGTCAAAGACATTGTTTATCCCAATGTGGAAGAATCTCACTGGTTGTCCAGTTTGGAGTCAACTCATTGGTTAGAACATATCAAGGCAAGTATATTTGTAAAAAATTAGTGATTTTTTAGTGAAACAAGAATTTTTAATCCTTATATTTAAAAGAATTGAACAGTGAAAGAAGTTCTGCATTTGACAGTTTTGTATTTCCTTATCATTTGCTTACCTAAAGTAAAGATTTCACAACATCACCTCCCCAATATTTTTAGCATCTTTAGAGATGTCATTTTCCATCTCATCAATAATAAGTAGTTGAGCCTTTCACTTAGGTTTATTTAAAAATAGCCAGTTTATTATCTAACCACTACTTAGTATGACCCTTGGGCCTACAGAGAGATTGTTTGTATTGAAACCAATATCAAATTGACTAATTTTAAAGAATAAACTTTGTGCTTTATTATATTCAATCTTTTCTCTGCATAAAGACTTCAAAAACCTCCATTCTTTTAAAAGTAAAAATACTTGAAGCTATCTAAGGGAGCTAACACTTTTAGAAGCTGCCATTTAGTTCTAATTATAAACAAGCAAAAAGCCTACTTAATTTTTTCCATGAAAAGAGTATATTTTAATTGATTTTGTTCATACATGTTAAGTTTCAACTTTCAATAATAAAATTCAATCAATTAGATTCCTTGATCGTAAAACCTTGCTTCACACATTATTTATGTCACCAAAGTCCACAGGTATACAAAACATCACAAAAATTTGACCCTGCATGCCTACTTTAGGTGAATTATTAAGATAGATTGTTTTCTAGTGAAATTTTATTTTCCAACTCAATAGGAATTGCATTTTTATCTCACCTGTCTTTCATTTTTTCTTAATTTATCAACCTCAAAAATAAATTGCAAAAATATTACTTGTGATAGCTAAATGCAATGAGGCATCCTGGATTACAAAAATGACATTAGGTAAAAAGTAAGAAAATTTGAATAAAGTATGGACTTTATTAAAAAATAAGTTAATAAGTTTATTAACATGTTAAAAGGCGACTTTCATTGCATCAGGCCTTTAAGGTGTAGACTGTACCTATTAGGCCATTGATTTTTCTACTATGATCATTGTTATCAGTTTAATTGTGTTCCCCCCAAAATTCATATGTTGAAGTCCTGACCTCTAGTACCTTAGAGTGTGACCTTATTTGGAACTCGGGTCATTGCAGATATGATTAGATAAGATGTGGTTATAATTGATTAGCATGGACCCCGAATCCAGTAAGACCAAAGTTCCTGTGAAAAGCAGAGATTTGGACAGACACATGCACAGGGAGAACACCATCTGAAGATTGGAATTAAACTGCCACAAGCCAAGGAGCTAACAGAAGCTAGGAGACAGGCCTGGAACAGCTTATCCCTGGAACCTTCAGAGGGAACACGGCCCTGCCAACAGCTTGATCTTAGATTCCAGCCTCTGGGAGATAATAATGTCTGTTGTTTAAGCCCCCGGTTCATGGTACTTTGTTATGACAGTCCCAGCCAACTAATACAGTTGCGTATATGATTAGGAGTTTGAAATGCAGTTTGGCTATTTGTGTGTGTTTGTTTGTTTTAATACCAAATTGCATTTGAATGCAGTTTCTGTAGAAGAAGAACACAGATCCCATAGTCCTCATTTTCTATTTTTTAGGACTCTTTCTAGACATTAATAATATTTTAAAACAGGACTTTTTCTAGGGTTAAAACTATCATTTCAAATTGAAGCTATACTTTGCAGCTACCTACTGACTTGCATGTGTTTCTTTGCCAGCTTATTTTGACAGGAGCCATTCAAGTAGCAGACAAAGTTTCTTCAGGGAGGAGCTCTGTGCTTGTGCACTGTAGTGATGGATGGGACAGGACTGCCCAGCTGACGTCCCTGGCCATGCTGATGTTGGACAGCTTCTATCGGAGCATCGAAGGGTTTGAAATATTGGTACAAAAAGAATGGATAAGTTTTGGACATAAATTTGCATCTGTAAGTAAACAATAAAGCTGTTTTTTAATGTCAGGTCACTGCCATTTGGCATTTAAAAACTAGTTGTTAAATCATATCTTCACTCTTAAAAAGAAAATCTGAGGAGTGTAATAAATAATATTTACAGGTTCGAAAATGGGTGATGCCTTGGGCTAGAAAGTCTCTTTAGGAGACATGTTTATCCATTTGCACTATTAAGTTTCAATTGAAAGTAATAGAAAGAGTCTGCATGGAAATGTTTAAATTGAAATTGCAGAAAAGAAAGAAGATAGGATGACAATTCTTTTTCAACTAATATTATAGCTATTAGAGTCAAATATATTTTATAGAAATACTACACTTTCAGTTAAGGCTTTTGTCATTATTTTTCTCTCGATTTTTAAAACCGAGAGAAGGTATTAAAATTCCTATTACCAGGTCTTGTTTCTAGACACCCTTTGAATAAGCATTTTTCAACAAGCTCCCCAAATGATATTCAGAAACACTGCTATGTAACCTTTTATCTTTCACCCAAATTTCATAAGTAGTGTGAATAACATTTTTAAGTAAAAAGAATCATTGTTTAGAAAATGAGTAAATGGTTAGGTTTTTGTCTTGCTTTTAAGAGAGAAAGAACTTAACTTTTAATTATAATAATCACACCCTTTTGTGTATGGTTTTAAGTCCTGAAATTTTAGGACTGGCCCCTTAGCAACAGGTAACATATTCTGCAGGATAATCCAATCCAGTCTACCTGCAGCTGCCCAGGACTTGGACAAAATTCCAATTGGATGAAAGAGTTGTAACACATATGATGATACTTTGCCAATTTGTATTGCTATTTTATGAAAGTTTGTATACTTAATTTTCATTATCTCAAAATCTTATACTATTTTCTATATTCCCAAGGAAAATATACTATTAACTCTCTGAGAGACTTGGCATTTGGAAAGCAGATCGCTGAGTTGTATTGCCATATTTTGTGAGTTATGTGCTTTCTTGGTTTTGTACCTATAAATTAATCTTCATCAAATCATCTTCACCAATTTATTTCAGAGAATAGGTCATGGTGATAAAAATCACGCGGATGCTGACCGATCTCCTATTTTTCTCCAGTTTATTGATTGTGTATGGCAAATGTCAAAACAGGTAAGGGATATATAGGATAAAAATACATTCAATTTAATGTTTAAATATTTTGATATATGGGATTTGCATCCAAATAAAACAGAGCAGAAATAAGAGCTGCAACCAGTTTGGCTATGTGCGAATAATTGTTAAAGCTGGGTAATAGATACATGAATTTCCCTTTTTTATTCTCACTACTGTTCATATGTCTGGGATTTTTCATAATAAAGTTTTAAAATTCAATATTTGATTGTATTAACTCTACTAATGAAGGAACAATGGAATTGACAATACCAATTTATCTTTTCCGTCCATCTGATAACTTATAATACCTTAAATAATTAAACCATCCGATATATTCTGTACACTCAGGAGAACCCAGAAAATCAGCTTGTTTTCCTTTTTATTCCTTTACTTGACCCTTATTTAAACTCTTCAGTCCTCTGCAAATCACCAATAAATGAGAATGGGCATATGCGGATTGCAGCCTCTGCTGCCCTTCCTGGAAAGCAAAGTGTAGTAAAATTTATGAATCTCTTTTCAGTTTTATAAAAGGTCAATCCGAGTTTTCATGCTTTGTTTACTTGCTTGTTTTTGTCTAGTTCCCTACAGCTTTTGAATTCAATGAACGATTTTTGATGACAATTTTGGATCATCTGTATAGTTGCCGGTTTGGTACTTTCTTATACAACTGTGAATCTGCTAGAGAAAGACAGGTGAGTGAAAAATGCTAATCTTTGTAGTTACATGTGTCTAGTGTGCCATGAAATACAAAGAATTTGGTAACTTAGTTTATAGTAAGTGCAAAGTTTCTTATTTTTTACCTCAAGCTTGGATGTTTTCAGTTCAACCAGGGTTTGTTGAGTATGTGGTATTTACTACAGGGGTAAGACATTGACTTTGCCCTCAGGGAGTGGAATAACTTTATAGATATGCAAGGTCTCCTTACCAAAAAGCCATGAAAATATCAGTAAAGGGAATTTTTTTAAAGGCATAAACCCACAAGAGCAAGAAAAATGAGAAAGGATACATAGTAGCAAACTTTTGGAAGCTGAAAAGCTATTAGATAAGTGGTAAATAACTTAGTTTGAAAATACCATATCTCAAACCAACATCAGGGAAGTCAAGAACTGCCCATTTTACATTGCAGGAACTCCAGATGACTCAGGGGTTCTGGGGCAAAGGTGTACCAGGTGTGTAGGTTGCAGGAGGAAGAATAAGATAACCTGAAGATCTGTTTAGAATAAACAGTTAGCTTCCCCAGGTCCCTCTACCACTCTGTGGAGCTAAGGGCTCTGAGATTTCTTTGTGAGAGGGTATGAGTGAGTCTCTGGGCCAGGACTAGAGTCATCAGTGATGTGAATGGAGATGAGCTGACTTGTGAGAGCCCCAGCTCACTTCTGCTACTGACTCCCAGCATTATGGCAGCAGATCCTTATTTTCCAGGTGGGAGCATGAAAGAAGTTTCTCTGTTGGAAAGATTGACATTGCTGGTGGAGGTATAAAATGGTGCAGCAACTGTGGAAAACAGTCTGGTGGGCCCTCAGAAAACTAAATATAGAATTTGCATATGACCTAGCAATTCCATTCCTAGGTATATACCTAAGAGAAATGAAAATAGGGGTTGAAACAAAAACTTGTACACAAATGTTCATAGTAGCACAACTAATAATAGCTAAAAGGTGGCAACAACCCTAATATCCATCAGCTAATGAATAAATAAACACACAATGGAATTTTTTTTATTATTAAGGTATTACAAATGTGTCCTCATCCCCCCCATTAACCCCCAACCTCCCCCCCCACCCCCCATCCCTGCCCCGCACACTCATGCTCCCATCCCCCTGTTGTCCATGTCCACAATGGAATTTTTTTAATACATTTTTATTGATTTCAGAGAGGAAGGGAAAGGGAGAGAGAGATAGAAACATCAATGATGAGAGAGAATCATTGATTGGTTGCCTCCTACACACCCCCTACTGGGGATTGAGCCCGCAACCCAGGCATGTGCCCTTGACTGGAATCGAACCTGGGACCCTTCAGTCCTCAGGCTGGCGCTCTATCCACTGAGCCATACCAGCTAGGGCACAATGGAATCTTATTAAGCCCAAAATGGGAATGAAATTTGGATCCATGCTACAACATGGATGAACCTTGACAACGTTATGCCGAGTTAAAGAAGCCAGACATAAAAAGGCCACATGTTATATGATTCTGTTTATATGAAATATCCAGAATAATACATTCATAGAGACAGAAAGTACATCTGTAGTTGATAGGGGCTGGAGGGAGGGGAGAATGGGGGAAATGACTGGTTAATGGGTATAGAGCAGGGGTCTTCAAACTTTTTAAACAGGGGGCCAGTTCACTGTCCCTCAGACCGTTGGAGGGCCGGACTATAGTTTAAAAAAAACTATGAACAAATTCCTATGCACACTGCATATATCTTATTTTGAAGTAAAAAAACAAAACGGGAACAAATACAATATTTGTATTTGCATGTGTCCCACGGGCCATAGTTTGAGGACCCCTGGTATAGAGTTTCCATTTAGGATGATGAAAATACCTTGGAACTTGATAGAAGTGATGTTTGCACAACATTGTGAATGTACTAAAAGCCACTCATTTGTTAACTTTCAAATGGTGACTTTTATGGTATGTGAACTCCACCTCAATTTAAAAAAAAAAAAAAGATCTGCCCTAGCTGGCTTGGCTCAGTGGATAGAGCGTCAGCCTGCAGACTGAAGGGTCCCAGATTCGATTCTGGCCAAGGGCACACGCCCAGGTTGCAGCTCGATCCTCAGTGGGGGGTTGTGCAGGAGGCAGTCGATCAATGATTCTCTCTTATCATTGATGATATTTCTATCTCTCTCCTTCTCTCTTCCTCTCTGAAATCAATAAAGAAATATATTTTTTTAAAAAAGAATCTCTGTGGAAACTTGACTAGCCCATGAAGAGATAACAACACCTAGGGTTCCTCACATTGAAGCTCAAGTTAACGAGCCTCATGATCTCAGAGATTCTAGTCAACTCTTCTTTCCTCTACTCTTACATAATAGCAGACAACCAAGAGACAGAGAGAAAGCAGCGTGGAGAAAATAGCTACCTACAATGTAAGGAAAGGGGAAACATAGACAGGAAGCTAGCATTTACTATCCCGAGAAAAAGAAAAAAAACGTATATAGATATATATGTTATATATATATATATATTAAAGAGGTAATATGCAAATTGACCCTAATGCCCTCGCATCACAAGATGGCTGTCCCCACGTCATCATAAGATGGCCACCATGAGATGGCTGCCCCCCACTTCATCACAAGATGGCCGCCAGGGGAGGGCAGTTGAGGGCGACCAGGCCTACAGGGGAGGGCAGTTGGGGGGGACCAGGCCTGCAAGGGAGGGCAGTTAGGGGCCACTGGGCTGGCAGGGGAGGGCAGTTTGGGCAACCAGGCCTTCAGGGGAGAGCAGTTGGGGTCGATCGGGCCGCAGAGGAAGGCAGTTGGGGGCATTCGGGCTGGCAGGGGAGCAGTTAAGCATCAATCCAAGGGGTCCTGGATTGGATAGGGTTCAGGCTGGGCTGAGGGACACTCCCTCCCCAGTGCACAAATTTCGTGCACTGGGATATATATATATATATATATATATATATATATCTCCATGAAATAATAACAGGATATTATATTATTTGGAAAAGGACATTTAGACATCAGAAAAGAACTTGAAATAAAAACATACTATCAACAGAAATTAAAAACTCAGAAGAGTTGGAAGATTAAGTTGAAATCTCCCAGAAAATAGAATGCAGAGAAAGGTAGAAAATGGACACAAGAAAACTAGAAGATCAGTCCTGGAGTTCCAATATCCAAATAATAGGACTTCTACAAAGAGAAAATATCGAAAGCAGAGAGCAGGAAATTACTGAAATAACTTGAAAATATTTCCCAGAATTGAAATACATGGGCTTCCACATTGAGAAGCTTGCTAAGTGCCCAAGCAGAGTGGACAAAAATAGACCTGAAATAAGGCACATCTTTATGAAGTTTCAGAACACCGGGGACTAAAGAAAAGAAAGGATAAGCTTCCAAAGAGAAAAAAAAATAGGTTATTTGCAAAACAAACAGAAATCAGGAAGACTGAATTCTTCAACAGCAGTATTAGAAGCTAGCAGTCTGTGGCGCATTGCCTTCAGAATGTTTTTTGTTTGTTTTAATATTTTTATTGATTTTTAAAGGGAGAGGGAAAAAGAGAAACATTGATGAGAGAGTGGAACATTGATTGGCTGCCTCCTGCATGCCCCATACTGGAGATTGAGCCCACAACCCAGGCATGTGCCCCAACCAGGAATCAAACCAGCAACCTTTTGGTGCACGGTAGGATGTCCAACCAACTGAGCCACACTGGCCAGGGCAGCTTTCAGAAATTTAAGAGAGAATGGTTTCAACCTAGAATTCTGTAGCCAGCAAACTGTTAACCAAATCTGAAAGTAGACCAAAGATATTCCTAGAAATGCATGGCAACAAGAAAGATTTACCTTCTGTACTACACCCTTTATCTGGAAGTTACTGGGATATGTGCTCCATGCAAATAAGAAAGAAGACTGCATGGAATTCAGGAAGCAGGAGCTCTAGTACAGACAGAGTCAAGAAAGGACCCTCAGGGCAAAACAGAAGAGATCCAAGATGACAGTTGGATACAAGGTGTAGGGGCACCCAGTGCCGCTTTCCTCTGAAGATGAAATGAGGCTCCAGGTGTGCAGCGTCTTGGCAGAAGTTTGAGACTGGAGGAAAAACTTGGGGTTGAATTAATGATGACTGCCAAGAAAAGTAAACAAACAGAATAGACAGTTGTTAAATAGAGGGAAAACAAAAAAAAATGGCAGGAAAAGAAATCACAGAATAAGTGACTATGTGGCTTACTTAGCAACAGCACTTGCTTTGTCATAGGAATCTAAACACTAAACATCAATGTGATCAAAGCTGGCTATATATTGGGAGTATGAGGCAGGATGTAAAGTATATGCATGTGGAAATATAGAGGGGAGACATTCTCAGTGTGTCAGTATTATAATTAATGCCTATAACTGGATAGCCAATAGGTAGCAAGAAAAGCATGATATTTAGAGATTTGGAGGTAAATACCAAATAATTAAATCAATTGATTTTAAAAATCAAACTCTGTTGCTTCTAGGAAGAGGGGCAATAGGCTACTTTTTTGTGTTTTCATAACAAAACTTGTTGAATGATTTGGCTTTTTAAGCTATGTATGTGCATGTCTAAAAACAAAAACAAGCATGCAAATAAATACAATGCAACATGCATGTGTTATCAGAAACGTACAGATAAAGTTTTAGGTGGATTCCAATGAAGGCCAAATTACACTGCATTATTATCATTCACATTAATTTAGTATGTATGTTAAAGAAATTTCTTCAGTCTCTTATTTCAAGCTGTTCTTTTTAGCTTCCAGTTGTAGCTTATTGGTTCTTTCTTATTGAATGATTAATAGTAAGAGTTTTAAATTCTGCCTTCGGTAATTTTAATGCTTGCATTTTTCCCAAGCTTTGGTTTTTCGTTGGTTTATGGTCAAAATCTATAATAAAAATACAATGAAAATGTGAATATCTGTATGAGATGATGGACACCAGACTAAAAAGTGAAGATTCAGTGAAGTCAGTTACCCAGGTTTTTTCCAAATATCCTAATGTTAGCATGATGTAAACTAAACATTTGTGTCATTGATTAAAATAACTTTATATCTAGATGCCTACTGTCAAGTGGATACAGGTTAAGATTTCATAGTTCTAACAAATACAGAAATGAAAAAAGTCAGTGGGTTCTTAGAGTATTTTTCTTTCTGTTTAATTAAAAAAAAAAAAAAGCATACTGCCCATCTGTTCATAAATGTTTTACCTAGCCAGTAATAGTCTTCTTAGGTCAGTGAATTGCATTTAATATGATAGCATCCTGCACCTTTATCTTCTGGCAGAAATAGTTGCTCTCAAGCTAGGCCATTATCTATGCAAATATCAGTAAGTGGCTTTGGAGCACTCACTGGCCCATGAGGCTTTTTGAGCTATTATGGGGATAATGTAAATGTGTGATTCTAGTTGGTGCTCAGCTGTATTGCCACAGGCTGTAAAATGTTTTGTGTGCTTGTGTGTGTTTTACTTAGGCTTTCTACTTTCTCTTTTTCTATAGAAAGTTACAGAAAGAACAGTTTCTTTATGGTCGCTGATAAACAGTAATAAAGACACATTCAAAAATCCCTTCTATACTAAAGAAATCAATCGAGTTTTATATCCAGTTGCCAGTATGCGTCATTTGGAACTTTGGGTGAATTACTACATTAGATGGAACCCCAGAATCAAACAACAGGTAAATGAACCGACATTGTTAAAAGATAGTTATGTCAATTGATTACTTCTGGACTTTGATAATGTTACTTTGTGTTTGTTTTTAATATTATGAGGAGAAATTATCAGGTTAATAAGTCACACTTGCTTTTAAACACAACTTTTATTAAAAATTGTTTTTATTTTTATTTTATTTTTTGGCTTAAAACAACACATTTATTCTCTTCTAGTTCTGGAGGCCAGAAATCTGAAATCGGTATCACTGGGCCACACTTTCTCTGGAGAATTTAGGGAAGGATCCGTTCCTTACTAAACCATTTATTTGGACTGGGGTTAAACTTACATTCTTTTGTCAATGGGAATAATTTTTTTCACTGAAATGTAAACTGATTTAAAGCTCTGGAAAATTTCTGAGGTTTTTTAAATTTTATTTTTTATTGGGGGAGAGAGAGAGAGAGAGAGAGAGAGAGAGAGAGAGAGAGAGAGAGAGAGAGAAAGAAATATCAATTTGTTGTTCCACTTATTTATGCATTAACTGGTTGATTCTTGTATGTGCCTTGACCAGGGATCAATCCTGCAACCTTGGCATATCGGGACAATACTCTAATCCACTGACCTACCCAGCCAGGGCAAAATTTTCTGAGTTTTGATAGTCAAAGATTTCCTTTAATCACTGGAAATTTTTATACATCATAGGAAAGAAAACATTTCCTACTCTCTGGTTCAGGAGTATGTACTAGGTCAACTAACATCAGAGTGCTTTTTCCTGAGGGTCTTTATTTCTAAAATAAAGATAATTGCTCTGTCAATGGATAGTACACTCAATTGGCCATTTATCATTCAAAAGTGAAAACAATGGTTTTTAATGGAAAACATGCCACATTTTATTAAAGACACACTCAGGCTTTCCATTTTCCCACCCCGACTTCAACAGAAATCAGAAGGAAAATACAGCCTGTTTGTAAAAGCTCAGAAGTACCACCATTTAGTGATTTGTTCTAAGTGCTATAAATATTCAGTATTTGTGATTGCTCTTTGTAAAGGTTTGCACATTTTCCTGCGGTTTGGATGGTTGACTACCTGTTCTCACAGGCCAGTCTTGCGTAAGTGCCAGCTTTAATCCTGCTAGAAATCGTTGGGCAACAGCAGGGACCCAGTGCTGCAGTCTGTCTCTGAGATTGTTTATTCCACTCAGGCAGCTGGCTGCACGCCATTCTGTGCTCTCTCTCCTCATTGGGGAAATGCCTGGTTCAAGCAGGCACTCTCATTGCAAGGTCTCTGCTGCATGCATGAAAGGCTCTTGCAATTTAGTAATGGTTGAAATGTGTAATCTTTTGGAAAGTGACAGATTCCAGGGCTGGAGAACATTCACTTGTTTAGTTTGGGATTTGAGAAGCATGTTTAGGACATGTATTTAGCAGTAGCTCTATTGAGTGGAATATCAAGTAAAGAGGAAATGGGACTTTTTCCAGGATTTTAATTGCTGTTACAGAGGACATGTCCCTTTTCTAATTAAAAAAGATTATATAGATGAGCACTGTTTGTCCTATACATTAAGCCTTTTCTGTGTTTATTGTGGCTTTTTTTTTCAACCAATGGTAATTAGAAAATGTTGGCAATTTCTGTATAGATTATATAATCTTCCCTCACCCATTTGTACTTAAATAAATTCTTGAAATTCAAGGAATTTCGAGCAATTCATTTCTGAATATGTAATGGTAATAATAATAGTGTGACAAGGGAAGTTGGAAGGGGCATCAGTCGAATAACTTGCTGTAATGTATCTATTCCCTTGTTCTCAAAGAGCTTAGCAAAATAGAACTGGGCTAGATAGCACTGAGCATTCCTTGGTAGAGGTTTTGTTTTGTTCTGAGACAGTAATTGGACTATATTATAATCTGTGAAATTTACTCAAAAAAGAAAATAACTTATCCTTTCAATATAGATTTTTCCACACATATCTTTCTGTGCTTTGACACTTTGTATTTTCATCCCCCAAATATTGAGTGTTCCCATGCATCAAGCACACGGGGGGACACAGAGAGTAAGAAGAGGTGGTTTCATACAAGTACACAAGGAGCTCCCAGGCTGGTGGGAGCACCCAGGAACATAAGCCAATGATTTTATGTAGAACATTATATCATACAGAAACAGATTAAAATTTGATCATATAGGACTTTTAAAATTATCTATAATAATAAAAGCATAAAAAAAAGCATAATATGCTAATTAGACCAGACATCCAAACGACCTGCTGGACATCATTCTGGACGTCCTTCTGGATGAAGCCGCGGCAGCGGGGGCCGAGGCAGAGGCGGTTAGGGGTGATCAGGCAGGCAGGTGAGCAATTAGGGGCGATCATGCAGTCAGGCAGAGTGGTTAGGGGTAATCAGGCAGGCAGGTGAGTAATTGGGGTGATCAGGCAGGCGAGCGGTTAAGAGCCAGTGTTCCCATATTGCAAGAGGCATGTCCAACTGTCAGACATCCCCTGAGAGGTCCCGGATTGGGAGAGGGTGCAGGCCAGGTTGAGGGACCTCCCCCCTATATAGGCCTCTAGTATAATATAAACCTAAAAGAATATACTTCACCATTTAAAAGTTAATTTGTTATTCAGTAGTGTGGCCCAGTTGGTATAAAATGATTCCTGGCCCAGTCATCACAGCTCAGTGGTTGAGTGTCAACCTATGAACCAGGAAGTCATGGTTTGATTCCTGGTCAGGGCACATGCCAGGTTGCAGACTTGATCCCTAGTGTGAGGCATGCAGAAGGCAGCTGATCAATGATTCTCTCTCATCATTGATGTTTCTGTCTCTCTATCTCCCTTCCTCTCTGAAATCAATAAAAATATATTTAAAAAATAAAAATAAAATGATTCCTGGGTACCTATAGTGTTCACAGCACTACAGTATGCTCTCAGTACTTTCAGAACCAAAAACATATATAGCTCCTCCCTATAATGAACTGTTTGGTTCGCGAGCCACATGCGGCTCTTTGGCCCCTTGAGTGTGGCTCTTCCTAAGCCTTAGGAGTACCCTAATTAAGTTAATAACAGTGTACCTACCTATATAGTTTAAGTTTAAAAAATTTGGCTCTCAAAAGAAATTTCAATCATTGTACTGTTGATATTTGACTCTGTTGACTAATGAGTTTGCCGACCACTGGCCTAGAAGAAGGCAGGGTTAGTGTGCTTTTAAAAGCAAAAGCCACCAACCCTTGCTACCACATAAAAACTCAGCAGAGTTGATGGAAAAACTAGTGCTTACATTTGACAAGATATCAATAAGCAAATTTGGTACTTTTATTTAATATAAGGAAATTACTCATGTCGAAAGCAGAAGTATAAATTAGTCACATTATAAACCTAAATGGGATCCTTCAGCTGCTGGTAAACCTCATATTATATTTGGGGAACCACTGCACCTCATGTAGCTATCTACTAGGATTGCACTGGGCAAGTTCACATTTTGCATGTGGTAACTCAAGGATGAGAACAAGAACAGCCAGATATTAATAGGCTGACCTGTGGGGTGTGTAAGTCATTTCTGATAGAAAAGTGAAAAGGAATATTAATATAAACATCATTTGAAGCCTAAAATACTTCCATGCCTAGCTGATTGCCTATCTTCTCTTCTATGCTGAGCTGGCACACTCTTTACTTCATAATTCATTTCCCAAGTAAAAAGTTGAGATGTAGTATTTAAAGTCACTTGAGTTTAAATTTCATTTTTCATTATTTTGTCTTTTGGTATGCTATCACAATTGGACACTTCTATTTATATCTTCTAAATGATTTGTGTTTGCCTGTAGGCTAATGACTTCTATATATTTTGTTCCAATTATAAAACTGAATTATCTTTTTATTTCTAATAGTTTTTTCCATCTGCTCTCTCAAGTTTTGTAATTACACAACCTTGTCATCAGCAAAAATGATTTTTTTTACTCTGATTTCTTTTTCTTGTCTAACTGTCCTTACTGGTACAATAACAAACTGATAGTCATAATAGTCATATGAAACAGGGAAGTTTTAAAAATAGCCAAGGTAATTTTGAAGGAGATTATCAAGGAAGAGCTTATCCTGCTATGTATCAGACTTATTTGAAACAGAATAGCAACCAGAAACAGAACACATGGAAATGGAGACTTGATAGGGTAAGAAGGTAGTATCATAATGCATAGGGAAAAAAATGGACTGGATGGTAAATGGTGCTGCCCTAGCAAATCACACTTAATATGTCTAAACCAGAACTCCTAATGTTCCCCCAAACATGCTCCTTTTTCCATCTTCCCCTTTCAGTTCTCAGCAACTCCATCCTAGTCACTCTGGCCGGAGACCTTAGTCATTTTGATACCTTTCTCTCTCATACTCCACATCCAGTCTGTCAGGAGAGCCTGCTGGGCCCAGCCTTCAAAATCTGTATGGCCTCTGAGCACTTCTCACCAGTTCCTACCATGCCCTTGGCCAGGACTCCCTGATTTCTACCCTTGCTTGCTTCTATTCTGTTCTCAATGCAGCAGCCAAAGTGGTCCTTGTAAAATATACACCAGGTCCCACCACCTTTCTACTCAAAACCATCCAGGTAGCTGCTTATCTCACCCCAAGTCAAAGCTAACATCCTTATGGTGACCTCTGAGGCCTTATATGACCCCTGCCTTACCCCTTCCTTCTCGAACCCCCTCACCTCCTCACCAACAACTCTCACACACTCTGCTTCAGCCAAACTGGGCTCCTTGCTTGTCCTCCCATATCCATCTACATCCTTCCCTGTTCTCCCTTAACCCTCCCCCCCAGGAGCCACTTCAGTGAAGTTCCCCAGACCACACTGTCTATAGGGTACCTGGCATCCCCCTGTTCTCCATCCCTCTTACCCTGCCCTACTTCTTTCCCACAGTATTCATCACCTTTGGATGTTCTATGTAAGTCACAGGATCATTGTTATTTGTTGTTTATCTGTCTCCCTCTGCTGGGAGAGAAACATCATAAAAAACAAATGTATCCTGAGCATCTAGAACAGTGTCTGGACCTCGGTGTAATGAATAAAGAGAAAAAAAGGATATTAACAGGCACTGCACAGCCCTTACTCTACCAAACATCCTATATAATAAAGGCCTAATATGCTAAGTGTCCGGTCATCTGTTCAATCAATCAAAGCATAATATGCTGATGATATGCTAAGGTTGCTCAACTGCTCGGTTATGATGTACACTGACCACCAGGGAGCAGACAGTCAACCCGTCAACTAGTTGCTATGAAATGCACTGACCACCAGGAGGCAGACACTCTGACTGGTAGGTTAGCTTGCTGCTGGGGTTCTGCTGATCAAGACAGGCCAGACATGCCCTGGAGCCCTCCTGCAGTCCCTTCCTGGCTGGCCAACTTCCTGCGTCCGACCCCAGTTCCAATCATGCACCGGTGGGATCCTTCAGCCTGGCCTGTGCCCTCTTGCAATCCGGGACCCCTCGGGGGTTGTCAGAGAGCCGGTTTCAGCCCAATCCTGCAGGCCAGGCCGAGGGACCCAACTGGTGCACAAATTCATGCACTGGGCCTCTAATTTCTATTCTAATATCATATATGCATTTCTGAGAAATCTCACATTCTGCAGTCACAGGAAAAAGAACACGGCTTAAAAGAAGAATAGGATTAGGTCCAAATCCATGGACTTTTATAACCAAAGCTCTAATGAAAGCAACAATTGCATTAGAAATGTGGGCACAGTTACATGTCTGCTGCATTTGCACTTGGCTTCCATTGATCACTCCTTGGCAGTCTCTAGTGGGGTGAATAGTGACCCCCAAAACATATGTCCACTCAGAACCTGGGAATATGACCTTATTTGGACAAAGGGTCTTTACAGGTTTAATTGAGTTAAGGATCTCAAGATGAGATCCTCATGAATTTAGAGTAGGCCCTACATACAATGACAGGTATCCTTAGAAGGGAGAGCAGAGAAAGATTTGAGCCATAGATGTATATACAGTGGGGCCTTGACTTAGGAGTTTAATTCGTTCCGTGACGGAGCTCATAACTCAAATTACTCGTATGTCAAATCTTAAAGTGAACGAGTGAGACACGTGATGCTGGGCTGATGTTGTGGCATTCACTGTGTCGTTCGCTGCACCAACTAGCGGTGGGGTATCTGAAGCTGGCTCCTAACCCGAATTTTAGCTCACAACTCAAAGCAAAAAATCGGCTGAGAGACGGCTCGTATTTCGAAAATCTCGTTAGTTGGGAAACTCATAAGTCAAGGCCCCACTGTACAGGAGAACACCATGTGAAAACAGGAGTGATTAGAATGATGCTGCTATAAGCCAAGGAAGCCTAGAACCACCAGAACTGGAAAAGGCAAGGAAGGATTGTCCCCTAGATCCTCCAGAGGGAACACACCCTGATTTCAGGTTTCTGCTCTGCAGAACTGTGAGAAAATAAGTTTCTGCTTTAAGCCACCAAGTTTGTGTTAATTTGTTACAGCAACCACAGGAAACTAATAAATACATGATCTTAAACCCTAGGCTTCATGCTCCCTCCTCTGAGATGCAGGTCCTGGAGGGCATCTGCTTCTAATCCACACCATTTCCCTCAGCATTGACAGTCTAATCCAAGGTGTAGCCTTTCTTTATTAGTGTCTCATCTTCATGGCTTCCTTGTTGGCAGATAGCTTTGGTAGATATCATTGAAAAGCAGGACAGCTCTGGAATCCATTAGTACTAAAGGAAGGCACGTCTGTAGACTGTCAGCACTGTTCTTAATGTCTTCATATATTGTTCAGCTTTCCAGAAGCTTGCCCTGGGTCACTTCAAAACATTAATGTTATGGCAAGGGTGTCTTCTGAGGGCTGTTCTATTGTATACGTTGGCCTGAGTGGTGATTATATTATTGCCAACATATGTAAACATTCGTTGAGCTGAACATTTTAAGATTTGTGCACATTAATGTGTAATTTATATCTTAGTTAAAAAGTTTTAAAAATTAACGTGCAGGAGAGAATCATCCTGTTCCAGCACTTTATACAGACATCAATGCACTGTTTTTTTTTAAATATATATTTTATTTTTTACAGAGAGGAAGGGAGAGGGATAGAGTTAGAAACATCGATGAGAGAGAAACATCGATCAGCTGCCTCCTGCACACCTCCCACTGGGGATGTGCCCACAACCAAGGTACATGCCCTTGACCGGAATTGAACCCGGGACCCTTCAGCCCACAGGCCGATGCTCTATCCACTGAGCCACACCGGTTAGGGCAATGCACTGTTTATCAATCAAAGTTTTTGGTGTTGTAGCAAAGCAGACTATATTGACTGCCTTCACTCTCACAACAACCCTGTGAGGTCCATGTCGTTTTTATTCCCTCTTGACAGATGGGAAGTGGAGGATCCCAGAAGGTTAAGTCACACAGCTGGTAAGAGGTAGACCCAAGATTCACAGCAAGGCCAGTGGGTGTCAGAGCTGCTGCTCTCAGTCGTTCGTTTATTACTATAAGCAATAGCACGTGAAAAAATGTAATAGAGCAGAGCAATGCAATAGAAAACTACCATGTTACTCTCTTCAAATTGACAAACAAACACTCTTCTATTCCCAAGTTCTAGTGAGGATATGGAGCAACAGGAACTACCAAACTCACTAGCGGCGCCTAAGTTTGTATCATCACCTCAGAGAACAATTTGGCAGCATCTAGTGAAGTTAGAGAGACCATACCTTCCATCCTCTCCAGCAGTTCCATACCTGGTTAAATTCCTTCAAGAAACATTTGCACATGTGCACAAAGAGATGTGTCCAAGGATAGTAGAGCATTGCATGTAGTAGTGGGGAGCACTGAAAATTGCCAGCTACCCATTCATGTGGGAATGGATAGATAAACTAGTTCATTCATTCAGTGGAATGCAAGGATCAATTCAGAAATACAATGTCAGGTCAAAATGTCAATTGATAACTAACTACAGAATACCACCTTTGTTGTGAATTTTCAAAAAAAATAGAAAAGAATAGTGTATTTTGTTTCTGGATACTCACTTGTAGGAAATGTGTCACAATTCTCTACCTACCAACTTGACAAGAGTTGTTGCCTCTGGGAGCAAAAAGGCCTGGGGACGGACAGCACAGGACATAGGAGCTATGTCTTGGTTGAAAACTTCAAAAAGATGGTGACGCGTGTGGGAGGAAATGTGTACATAGTTATTTCTTGGTGGCATTTTATTATTCTTGATACTTTTCTGTATTTTTAAATTAAGCCGTATGGAAGGAAAGTATGCATAAATGTTGAACCTCAGAGGCTTATTCAAAAAGCAGGACCTATAGCAGATGTGTGTGGAGCAGGTGAAATTTTGTGACGTGGTGGGCACAAAGCAGTAACTCAGGCTCGTGCTTCTCTCCAGCAGCCAAATCCAGTGGAGCAGCGTTACATGGAGCTCCTGGCATTGCGCGACGAATACATAAAGCGGCTGGAGGAGTTGCAGCTCGCCAACTCTGCCAAGCTTTCTGATCCCTCGACTTCACCTTCCAGCCCTTCACAGATGCTGCCCCACGTGCAAACGCACTTCTGAGAGGGAGCCTTGCCCAATGCTGAGTTTGAGCTCTGAATAAAGGAAATAGTTGACTTTCATTTGGGGCCTCTGTACAAAGTAGATTAAAATATTTGCCTCCATGTAGAACTTGAACTAACATAATTTTACTCTTGAATATGTGCCTTCTAGATTACATATTACAAGAAAACTACAGTGTCTACACGGCAGTCAGAAGAAAGGAGCCCAGATGGGGTTTTGGAAAAATTCTGATACCTTTCAAAAAAAGTTTTTGAAAACAATAAAGCTTAAATTTAATTTGCCTCTTTAGAAGTGCTGTGTATACAATATGTAATTTATGGGCTTAATTGCAACAACATTATTTTAAACTAAAGGGGATAAACGTTTTGTGAAATGGATTTTCCTCAGGTTGCTTAAAAGCATTGCTTCATATTATCTAAAACGAATGCAGATGTGAAAGGTGTGTTACTGCCAAAACCAAATTGAGCTCAGCTTCTGAGGCATTATCCAAAAGCAAGGTATTTCAATAATTGCCAAATTTTATACCATCATAAGTGGTGACTTAAGGAGAACTAGCTGTGTAGATTAAATTTTGGAATATGAGGTGTTTTCCCCTAATTTTCAAGAGAAGCATATTTTTATATTTAAAAAAAACTGATGGGGCCCAGTTTAATATGATTTGATTTTTTTAAACTTTGCCAGTTCTATTTTCTAAGTTTTTCCTTGAGCTTGCCTAAAATTCTGACCCCTTTTCAGGTTGTGGGAAACCACTTAGATAGCACTGTGCAAGGATGTCGGGTGTCATATGCTGCTGAGGTGAATGTTTTCGCAAATGTTGCTCTAGTCAAACCAGCTTATCTGCCAAAGCGTAGGGTTGACCATCTTGGATGTTTGAGCTATTGCTAAAGCATCATTTTTTTAAAAAAATAAAAGCTGCAGATGTACATTTGTTGAGCGTATTCTTGAAAGTATTGTGTTTATTGATTTCTATTCAAATGATGTTGGGTGCCCCTCCTCTCAAGCGTGCATAAAAACTGATTCTACAAATTTTTACTTGAATACCTGGCAGTTTGCTTTTTCAGGTTTTTGTGTTTGTTTTTTTTCTGTAGTATTAAGTGAAATTTCAAATGCAGTTCTATTTGATATCTGAACTAATTCATTTAGTAAGTATATTTGTAAAAGTTAAAGCTAGAGTGAAAGCAATTAATGTGTTTTACAATGATCTGTAAAGGACTATTTATAGCTAATATGGTTATGTTTTCAATGAATAAGAGAGATTAAATATATCTTTGTAAATTATTTTATGTCATAGTTTAATTGATCTATCAAATAAGACATCTCAAAAACAGTAGTATAATGTATAAATTTTGTATGTATAAGAAATTTTATTAGACATTCTCTTGCTTTTTGTAAACGCTGTAAATATTTCATAAATTAACAGTGTCACTCCATAAAAAGAAAAAAAAAGCTAAATACTAATAGCTTAAAGGATTTTGTGAAATTTCATGAAACATTTTTCATGGCAATGATGACTACAGACCTGCTGTAATAAATATATTAACTCAACATAGCATTCTGTTTTCTGGGATGTAACTGTATATTTGTCTTAAGTGTGCATGTGTCATCTTCTTTTCCTGGCTCGACTTCACATGCTCTTTGTCTTACTAGCAACCTTGTAGGGCTCTCCCCAAATCCCAACAATACTGGACATTAAGTGCATTAACAATGAAGATTTTATTAGTCACAATTGTCTTTTTTAAAGCAAGGACAGTTTCCACAAACGTGGTGGAGTTCATACCACAAGACTTCAGAACCCAGGATGGAGAAAAAAGCCATTGATATTAAGGGAGAGTATAGCATTGATTGAAATAAGACATACCAGATGTCTCTTTAGGTGAGAATTTTTAAAATTCTTCAAACTGTGCTGCCAATTGGAAATTACATTGTTTATCTATATGCATCTGAAGAATGCTAAATAATTATAGCAGGAAACTAAAATTAACCATTATTTTAAAATCTGAATAGGACTCTTAAAAGATTAAGTATTTTTTAAAACTATGAGTATTTGAAATGTTTTATGAAGTTCTTCCTTGAACATTGCTATGTTTAATCCTCACTACAACCTCATGCACTACATGGTATTCTATTATCCCTATTTATCAGCTGAGAAGGCCATTTCTCCAGGGGTTACTGACATGCCAGAAGTCCCACAGCATCAAAAAAATGTATACATGGATTAAACTGAATTCTCCCTCTCTCAACTTCCCACTACCTTAGTTCTGCCTTCTGGAATGAAATAGAACAATCTCTCTTTTTGGGACAGCCCTCCAAATAATTTGGAACCATATATACTTTTGATAATATAACAGTTTCTTCTTAATATAGTCAAAGCAGTTTTTGGTCTATTTTTGATAAAACAAAGTTTAACCTTATGCTTTTCTGGAAGGAATAATACTCAGAAGTTTCATAATAAGCTGACTAGTATCTCATTACCTGCAGCCCTCTCTACAGAATGCATGTTTGTGGTATTAGTCATCCAGACAGCTCTTGTGGCATTTGGGGCATTAGGCAAAAACAGGACTATATAAAGTGAACATTCTTAAAATACAGGAATTTTATTAGAGTCTACATACCTATGACTGAAATTTCATGAACATAGCTATTGGTGACCATAAAGCAAAAGCAGAGGATACCCAAAGGAAATTACTGTATACAGCATGCAGTCCACCAACAAGAACATGGATTAGCACACTTGCAGAAAAAACTTACATGGTTGTAGATTGCAGTTGAATTTTTTAGGTTCACAAAATCACTAAATGCACGATGCTGAAATACCAACATCTATTGGTATACTCAGCAAAACAAAGTATTCTCATTTCCTTATGAGGCTTAGATTTGGATATGGTTTATTCCTTATTTTCAATTATTTGTCCTTTAAAAGCAAAGGCAATAATGTATTCACGTAGGATAGCTGAAGGTTCACATGACTGTGAAGGCCTAACAGTTAATTTTTCTAGTAGCTCTCAAGAACATGACTTATTCATTTACAGTGTTTAATACGTATGTGCTTCTAAAATTGTTTTTCACAGTGCATTCCACATAAATTATAAAAGAAAGTTGTTCACCTCATTTCAAGAGTTTTAAATGCATTAGAAGGAGCCCTGGTTGAGACGTGTGGAGACCTAGATTCCTGTCTGGGCTCTGAACTACTTCTTGGATGGAAAGTGTGAGGCCTGGGAGGGGCCTCAGTGTCCACCTATTCAGCAAGGGTATGGGCTGCACATTCTGGAAGGTTCTTACACCCCAAAAACAAACCTCAGAAATGCATTTTAATCACGTATGCACATACAATATTTATGGCACAAGATGGCATTTGCTTTGTATATTAGTTTTCTGTTTCTGCTGTAAGAAATCATCACAAACTTAGTGGTGATTTATTAAAACACATTTAGTATTCTACAGTTCTGGAGGTCGAAACATGACTGAGAGGTAGGCAGGAACCAGTCATGGAGCTCCAGAGGGGCCATGTTAAAGAACTTATATTTTCTTCTCTGTACCCTAGGAGCCATTGGAGGGTTGTGGGCATGAGGGATAGGAAAAAATAAGAGTCACTCTGGCAGCCATTCGGGAGGGTGCATAGCAGGGTGATAAAATGGGACAGGCCAGTTCAAGACCAGACTAGATGACTAGATGTGGAAGACAGCCTGGAGTACAGATGAATAAAGATGTAGATTGAAAAATAGTAATTAGGAGTTGGTGAGTGGTTGGAAGGAAGAGGTGAGAAAGAAGTCAAAGATGATAAGGAGGTTTTGGTTAAGGTAATTGGTTGGCAAGTGGTATCATTTCCAGAAATGGGATATCAATGGAGGAGCAAATGGGGGCAGTGCTGAAGACAGTTTGGGACATACTGAATGTAAGAGTGCAGGCATCCAAGATGTGGTTGAGGATAAACACCTGAAGCTCACAAAGTAAGTCAGGGATAAAAACAAATTTGGGTATAAAACCATGGAGTGGATGATAGTGCCCATGCAAATGAGTGAAGAAACGTGACGAGCCCCAACTCCAGATTTTAAGGGGCAGATTGAGGAAAAGGAGACCTGGAATGAGAAGAAGAAGGAAGGTCCAAGAAATGTAGAAGCAAACAGTTGTACTATGAGAGGTAATAGAAAGAGTGAGCAAGTGCTTAGCCTGAGAGAGCTAGTGAAAAATGTCTGTTTAATTTGAACAGTAGGAGATCCCTCGGGGACATATATGAGAGCTATTTCATGGGGCAGAAGCCAAAAACAGTATGTTAAAAGCCCCACCCCCACCCCCCCACCCCCCCCAAAAAAAGTCACTGGCCTGGACTCTAGCTCAGACAGCTACAAGGAAGCACAAATTCAGGTTTTTTTTAAACATATATATTTTTTATTGATTTCAGAGAGGAAGGTAGAAAGAAAGATAGAAACATCAATGATGAGAGAGAATCATTGATCGGCTGCCTCCTGCACTCCCTCTACTAGTGATCAAGCCTGAAACCCGGGCATGTGCCCTTGACTGGGAATGGAACTGTGACCTCCTGGTTCATGGGTCAATGCTCAACCACTGAGCCACACCAGCTGGGCACACAAGCTCAGTTTTGAGAAACTGACTTTGACACCGACCTTAGCTAGCACCACTAAGGAGAAAGAAAGTGCTATGGCTTGTTCCAAATCCCAGGATAAGGGGCCATGTTACAATGAAGAGAGAAAAGGAAACTAAGGAGGAATAGCCCCACCTCTTGCTGTCATTCATTCAACAAATATCTATAGAACTCTATCAGCCTAAATGTCACTCAATTATGGAAGTCTTCCCCCATGGCCCTGCCCTCAATACCGTCTTTGGTTCCACTGTCCTAAGCTCCCCTGGCACTCTATATGTCCCCTATCATTCCATTTGCCATAATTTGTTGAAATTACATGTTGAATGTTTTTCTTTCGCATTACACTATAAGCTGTGTGAAAGCAGGGACCATTTCTGTCTTATTCTTAGCTGTAGTGCCCAACAGGGTGCATGGAATATAATAGGTATTTACTGAAATGCATGAATGACTAAATGAAAGAATGAGTAGGTAGACAAGTGTATGCTGCTCCATCTAGCCCATGGGCCGTATAAGGCCCACAAAATCATTTAGTCTGGCACTCCTAGGGCAATGGCAGGTGGGACTCAAAAGTCAGTAAATATAGAAGCTTTTTTCATAGCAACATAAACTTATATTAAGTGAATAATATTAAGCCAATTATATTAAGCAAATGATGTTATAAATGTCCAAAATGGCCCTTGGCAGAAGAAAAATTCCCCATTCCTGTTCTAGAGGGTTAACTACAAAGAAAGGAGGGAGATTGCATGATGGATATTGGGAGACAAGACCAAGAAAATTGGCTTTTTGAAGGAATAGACTTAGTATGAGCATATATGGGGAGGAAGGAGCCAGATGAGAGAGATTCACAATAGAGGAAGAGAGCTGTTGCCTGACAGAACAAGACCTCAGAGTGGGCATGAGCCCAGGGATATAGGCAGATAAGGATTGGCCTTGAACAACACAAGGAACTTCTCTTCCTCAACAGTGGAGAAGAGGATGGTGGGTGCAGATGAAGAAACATCTCATGGAAAGGTGTGGTAGCAGAATAATGACTCCCCAAAGATGTCCACATCCTAGTCTCCAGACCCGGGGAATATGTGATGTTATATAGAAACATCCTTGATATGGAGAGATCACTTTGAATTGACAATGTGATTGCAAGGGTCTTTAAAAGTGGGAGAGAGGCAGAAGAATCAGTGTCAGAGAAGTACCATATGAGAAGGACTCACCATGCCATTGCTGACTTTAAAGATGGAAAAAGGAGCTGTGGGCCAAGGAATGTTGTGGCTTCCAGAAGTTGGAAAAGGCAAAGAAATGGAATCTCCCCTAAAATCTCCAGAAAGAACACACCATCTGACATCTTGATTTCAGCCCAGTGAGACCTGTGTTAGACATTTGACCTACAGAATGTTATAGAATAACTTTGTTGTTTAAGCCACTGAGTTTGTGGTAATTTGTTACAGCAGCAATAGGAAACTAATGCACTGAGGACAGATAATTTGAGGGAGTCCATGCTTGATTAACCCAATTTTCTTACACACACACCCAATATCAGAGGACCATAAGACATTTCAAATTCACCTGAAGCAGAAGAGAGGGAAGAAGATGAAAACAACCCTGAGAAGTGGTAATTAATAGCGAGCTCTCTGGTATATAGTTCAAATTCATTTCATCTCAGCAGTTCAAAAAGTCCTCAGGCACCAGTCTTGTGGCGCCCCCAGGTGCTTGCTAGAAACAAATGCAAATGCTCTAGAGCAGCGGTTCTCAACCTGTGGGTCGCGACCCCTGAAAATACATCCTGCATATCAGATATTTACATTACGATTCATAACAGTAGCAAAATTACAGTTATGAAGTAGCAGCGAAAATAATTTTATGGTTGGGGGTCACCACAACATGAGGAACTGTATTAAAGGGTCGCGGCATTAGGAAGGTTGAGTCTAGAGTAACATACCTTCATTCTAGGGCTC